GCGTCCCGCGCCGGCGAGGGCGCGGCCGTCGGGGACCCCCACATGCAGAACGTCCACGGGCGCTGCGGGGGGGGGGGAGGAGGTTCGACGATGAGGTTTGATGAGGAGGACGAGGAGCAGGAGCAGGAGGAGGAGGAGGAGGAATGAGAGGAGGAGGAGGAGGAGGAGGAGGTGGAGGGGGAGGAGGAGGAGGAGTAGGAGGAGGAGGAGGAGAGAGGAGGAGGAGGACGAACAGCAGGGGGAGGAGGAGGGAGGAGGAGGAGAGGAGGAGGAGGAGGAGGAGGAGGAGGAGGAGGAGGTGGAGGAGGAGGAGGAGGAGGAGGAGGAGGAGGAGGACAGCAGGAGGAGAAGGAGGAGGAGGGGGGGAGGAACTGGAGGAGGAGGAGGAGGAGGAAGAAGAAGAGGAGGAGGAGGAGGAGGAGGAGGCGGAGGAGAAGGAGGAGGAGGAGAAGGAGGAGGAGGAGGAGGAGGAACATGAGGAATTGGATGAGGAGCGCGCGCGCGGCTCGGCGCGGTCCGCCAGCCGAGACGGGCAAACGGCTGGCAGCGAAAGCGCAAACAGCACGAGCTGCCAGAAAGGGCCGCAGGGCGAACCTGCGCTGCCAGAAGCGTCTGCCAGCAGGCAGGCGGAAACGCCGGCAAGTCCTGCAACAAGCCAAGAATCCGACTTTCGCCCAGAAGTCCAGGACCTCGGGCCCAGAGTCGGGAAGCCGCCTTTGCAGACGAGCAGGCGGCAAGGCCGCCCCGCGCACACGCCGGCGAGCCAAGAGCTCGCCGCCAGCGCAGCGGGACGGCCGTGAGCCCAACGACCCAGCCACACACCTGGGCACCGCCAGGCAGTGCCCAGGCGAGTGGCGAGGGAGCGCGGGGCTCACCCAAAGGAGGCCCAGGGGGGGGCGGCCCCGCGCACACGACGTCGTGAAAAGCCACGACGTCGACGCAGACGGACCGCCGTGCGCCCTCACCACGGGATTCTCTGGCCCAGGCACCGCCCAGCGGCATTTGAGGCAGCCTCCCATTGGCGGCGGGCGCGCGCTAGTGAGGCGCGACACCCCGCTCTCGGGGGTCCAGGCCATCGACCAGTGCGGTCGATGGCCGCGAATCGGTTGCACCGTGCTCTTGGAGGGGGAGGAGGGGTCGCGAGAGGAGAGCCTCCCTCCTCCGTTTCCTCCTCGTCGCTCCTCGTCCCCTGCCGCTCCCCGTCCCCGTCATCCCTCCCCGTCCTCCTCCCCCTCCCCCTCCCCGTCCTCCTTCCCCCTCCCCGTCCTCCTCCTTCCTTCCTCCTCCTCCGTCCTCCTCCTCCTCCTCCTCCTCCTCCTCCTCCTCAGCATCCCTTCCCTCCCCCCTCCCCCCTCCTCCTGCCTCTCTCCCCCCCCCACTGCCGCATGCCCTCCCCCCTTCCCAGGGGGCTGGTGGCCCCGCGCCCCCCGCTCCCAGGCAGCGCTTCGACCTGATGCAGCCGGGCACGCACACGTTGGTGCACATCCCGCGCTTCTCCGCCAAGGACGGGACGCGGGGCGCCTGCCAAAGGGTGCAGCACGCAGGAGGCAGGGGTACGTAGGACGGAGGAGGAGGAGGAGGAGGAGGAGGAGGAGGAGGAGGAGGAGGAGGAGGAGGGAGGAGGAGGAGGAGTAGGAGGAGGAGGGAGGAGGAAGAGGAGGAGGAGTCCAGGAGGAGGAGGAAGAGGAGGAGGGAGGAGGGAGGAGGGAGGAGGAGGAGGAGGGAGGAGGCGGACCAGAGTAAGTCCAAGACGCATCAAAGCCCCTTTTACAGAAGTCTCTTCATCAAGAAGCGCCCCTTTGAAAGACCGTCACCCTGCGCTGTGCCTGCCATTCAGGTGCGGGGTTCGTTTCGAGAAGGAAACAACTGCTTTACGCCCTTCCAACGAGTAACAAGGAACGTGCGAAGGTATGATCTTACAGCCCAAAGAGGTGTCTAGCGAGATCCCCGCTTCGAAACAGGACCCCCCACACCTGTGCAACTCTCGCATACGGTGTCACTCATGGCCATGAGCGTCAACGAAGTCTGAAGCGAACACCCTATGAAGTAAAAGAGCCGCACTCCATGCGTGCAACATATTAGTATTTCCAAGCTTCTGGCAACTTCGCAAACTCATACATTTCAAGCGAATGCTCAGTGCTGTGCAGGTACTGCCCTTCGTTCATGTGGCTGCGGCGACGCCGACGGCGACGGCGCTGGCAGCGCCGACGATGACGACGCCGACGCCGACGGCGCCGCCGACGACGCCGACGCGGACGCCGACGGCGACGGTCGACGGCGACGGTGACCGCGGGCATCTGGAACACATCCGCGCGCTGGCGCCAGGCGTCCGCCAAGTTCCACGTGCAGGCCGGGGTGGAGCGCATCGGCAGGGCCTGCGCCGACATGTACATCCAGGCGTATGGAGGGGGGAGGGCGAGAGGGAGGGAAGGAGGGAAGGGGGGGGGGGGGGGGGGAGAAAGAGATGGAAAGGGGGGGGGAGGGGGAAAATGTTCCAAGAGGGCACCAAGACGCCCCCCCACGCGGTCCAGGAGGGCCGCGAATCGTTGGAATATCGACCCCAGACGCTGGCGACGGTCCCCAGACGCTCTCCGCTGGGAGCCAGCTCGGGGAGGGCCCAGACGGCCCAGCCCAGCCCTTGACTTGAGTCGGGCCTGTCCCCCATACAGGGGGATCTTCGACGAAGAAAAAAAAATATGTTTGGGGTGTTTTCTATGTTTCGTCGAAAATCCCCCTGTAGGGGGACAGGCCCGACTTAACCCTTGACCTGGCCAGCAGAGCCCCGGGGTTCCCTCCTGCACCCCTTCGGCGTCCGAGCCCGCTCGGCCGCTGAGCGGGCTCTCACGATCGGGCCCACTCGGCGGCCGAACGGGTTCAATCCCCGCGAACCTGCTGGAATTGAGCCCGCTCGTGAGGAATCCTGGGATTTGTGTGTGTGTGTGTGTATTTACTTGCGTGCCCCTGGGCCCCTCCAGTCTGACCAGCAGAGAGGGCCCCAGGGTTCCCTCCCGCCGTTCGGCGTCGGAGTTCGTTTGGTCGCTGAGTGGGTTCGAGATCGAGCTCACTCGGCGGCGGAACGGGTTTTCTTCCCGCGAGCCTGCCGGAATTGAGCCCGTTCCGGTTGCCCATCTCGGCGGCCGGACGGACTCAGGGCGGGGTGGAACGAATCGGCAGGGCTTGCGCCGACGTGACCATCCAGGAGACGCCCCCAGTCTGGGTGCCCCGGCTGGGGGGGCTGAGGTGGCCCAGCTGTAAGTTGGAGTAGTCTGGGCCTCCCAGATGGGCTCGGAGCAGATGGTGTCGGAGGATCGTGCCGCATCGCCGATACATCGCCGACGCGGCTCAATGTGGGGCCCGACTTGCTTCATGTCGACGTCGCCGATGTATCGCCGACGTCGACGATGCATCGCCGGTGCTCACCGATGCATCGCCGATGCATCGCCGATGTATCGGTGATGCGGCGCGATCCTCCGACCCCATCGACTCCGACCCCATCTAGGAGGCCTCTCAGTAGGTGGTCTGGGACAGATGGACCGGCGGCGAGAGGTGCAACAGGCCTCTGAAAAAGTAGCGAACACTCATGCCACATTCATCTGTGAACGCCTCCCCCTCCCCCCAATGTTCAAAGTTGGCGGTGGGACTGATGAGTTGCACCTCGACCGCAGTCCCCCCCGCGCGTGCCAACTTTGAGTTTGGGGGTAAGGGGGGGTGTTCACTACTTGTTTCTTTCTACCGAATCTTCTACACTGATCGTATGTTTCTGCGTGCAAGAGTGCACAACTACTGCGGTGGGGTGCGCGAACCAGTGCACGGGCGGCAACGACTGCACATGATAAAGGATACGGTAGGTGCGTGTCGTGTCGACTGGCGGCAACCCCGCCGCCAGCGCTCAGCGTTGAACGCCGCCAGCGGCCCAGAATCGGTCGAAGTCGAACGAGTTGACGCTTCGGAAACCGCCGATCGTTCAAGGCTGAGCGACCCCTGCTGTGTCAGGAGCCAACGCCGAAGTCCGCACGACACGAAGCTTCAGTACGCAAGTGAGGAGGAGGAGGAGGAGGAGGATCGAGGAGGAGGAGGAAGGTGGCCGCGTCGCACGACTCTTCGGCTGAGAGAGAGAGAGAGAGAGAGGAGAGGAGGAGGAGGAGGAGGAGGAGGAGGAGGAGGAGGAGGAGGAAGAGGGAGGAAGAGGAGGAGGCCAAGGAGGAGGAAGAGGAGAAGGAGGAGGAGGAGGGCTTCCGCGCGCAGCTCTTTGCAGCCGGCGCGCAAGCTCCTGCATCCAAGGCAGGCCTTGGAGTCCGGGGCGGGGGCCCGCCCCCTGGAGGGACAGGGGTCGGCCTGGTCTTAAGTCGGGCCTGTCCCTCTACTCGGCGGCGACGATAGGGGCGAATAGCCCAGGGCGGGCATTACACCTTAGGCGATGCTTAAGAAAACCCAAGTTTTCGGCCAGAGGCTCGACTATTCTTAATGTTTCAATGTAAATCCTAAGGTTTTAATATGAATATTGGGTATTTATTCAAGTTCTGAGACTATGAATTTCTTAACCCATGATTTCTTAAGCATTTCGCAGGGTGTACACGTACTCGCCCGGAAGCCTTGTCGAAGACATAGATCATCGGCGTTCCTGGATGCATGTGTTGCTCTCCCCTGGGCTATTCGCCCCTATCGGGAGGAGTATTCAAAAACATATGAAAATTAGTCATGGGACCATTTTTCTAGCATTTTTATAATATTTTAGGGGGTATGTTTCGGGTATTAATATTTGTTTCGCCCAAGATCCGCCTGTAGGGGGACATGCCTGACCTAAGCCTGGTCGACATGGGTGTGGAACGAATGTGCGCAAAGGCCAGCAGCGGTTCCTGCCCTTTTTGAGCCAGGCTCGCTGCCAGCGTCGCCGCAGGCGTTGTCCATTCGAGGGGGCTGGGGCCGAGAAGGCCCAGCACTGGTCCTGGCCAGCAGAGCCCCGGATCCTACCTGGAGATGTGTCGGGCATGCACCCCGAACGATGCGCCAACGTAGGGGGCCATCTCCGCCTCGGAGAAGCGAGGCTGGTATGTTCCGCAAAGGTAGGGTAGGGCGATAACAGCGGCGGCAAAGCATGAGGAGATTGACAAGTAGGGCCTAGGGGGGCTATCTTCGCCTCGGAGAGGAATGAGGCTGATCTTTTCTGCAAAGTTATGGCGATAGCAGCGACGGCAAAGTAGGATAATATCGACAAGTAGGGTTACGATGTTCCGACCTGCTTAGCCGTGATCACAAGAAAGAATTTCGAGCACCAGGGAACTACCAACATGGGAGGGTTTTCTCGTGTCGGGCCTTTTGCCAGCATGTCAGGCAGACACCGTTTCGATACGTTACTTCTTCTGGGCGCTCGAAATTATGTGTGGGACGTGGTCCTTGTTTCGAAACCGCCCAAGAAGTACGGCGGATCCAGAGTCAGGGGTTGTCACACAAATCACGACGTCGGCGCCTGGTCCGAAGTGCAGGCTTTCCGGGCGACACGAGCCTATCCCTTTTCAAGCCGATTCGTGGTGGGAAGGGCGTCGCTCGGGGAGGAACAACAAAAAAACAAACAAACAATCTCGACGTCGGAGGTCTGGATCCTCCCGCCCCCCGATCCTCGTCCCGGATCCCCCGCCCCCCAGGGTAGGGCTGAACCTAAACGGTGTTTTTCGTTTTCGTTTTGTTTTCGTTGTCCCTCGCTTTTGTCTCGAATCCGCCTTTGCCGCAAAACGAAGTCGAAACGAAAATGGCCCACGAAGTCACCAAAAGCACCGTTTAGGTCCAGCCCTGGGTCTACGGTCGATCCGAGGGATCGGGCTGGATGTCGAGCCCGGGCTGGCCCGATCCGATTCCACTCCGACACAGGGGATTCGGGGCGGCAAAGAGGGGGGTGATGACTAGGGGGGGGGGATCTCATGGCGTGGGCCATGATATTTCATGGCGCCTCTTCTTATGTCATTACGTCCCTGGCCCCCCCACCTGGGCCGTGCACATGCCGCTGGCCATGATTTGCGCCCCCCCACCCCCCCTCTTGGCCGCCCCCGAGTGGAGACCCATGCCACGAAACGCCCTGCTTGCCTCCAGGGTGCACTGGGTTTCTTGGGTTTCGATGGTTTGGCTGTGGAGAGCGTGACGTTCCCACACCAGAAATCGATGGACGTCCTGGGCTCTAAGGGTTGGGTTTCCTGTGGCAGGCTTCTTGTGGTCGAGCTCCTACTGTACTTTCGAAATCGCCCAGAAAGGACGGCGGATCCGACGTCAGGGGCTGTGACAAAAAAATCACGATGTCGGAGGTCAGGACCCTCCGCCCCCCGATCTTCGTCCCGCATCCCCGCCCCTCGTTCCCCCTCCCGCCCCCCAGGGGTCCATTTCGAGCCGATAGATCTTGACGAAGAAAAGCGTGCATAAACATAAACTTTTGGCGCTCCGCGCGGATTCCTTGGATTCGCGCTGGGCCCCCCGGCAGCGCCTCAGGCGCCGCCCCTGGCGCGCTCCGCGCGCCAGGGAGGGGGGTCCAGCGCGAGTCCACGATCTCTGCGCACACAACACACAAGAAGCCGTGCATCCATGAAGGACGCGTGGGCAGAAATAGCAACTAAAAAGTTGCCGCGGCCGCAGCGGGCGCCTCAAGGGGGAGGCGGCGGAGGAGGCAGAAAAGCTTCAGATGCTCAGGTGTTCGAGATTGTAGACAGATTGTGCCCATTGCTGCCTTGGTCTCCCTCTGCGCCGGCGGAGTGCCCAATCTTTGGGCGTGCCGTCTGCGTTGCACACCACCCGCTTCACCAAGGAATCGTCTGTTTCTGCAACAAGTTTCCTATACAACTTGCATTGGCGATCACGTAAAATTGCAGAGAGAGGCTTGGAACCGGCACGCGTCAGAACGGCTGCGTTCGGAACTCTCGAAAAGTAGGAATGAGGTATGCCTAATATCTTGCGCAGGCACCTGCAATGAAAAGCGTCCGGCCTTGTTCTGTCAACCTTTAGCAGCCACAAAGAATCCAAGGAGTAGAGGACCTTGCTCAACACGCAGCTGGTGTAGATCTGCAACTTCCTTGCCCTGCTGATTGCAGCATGCTTCCAAATCTTACAAAGCTGTTGGAATATGCCTTTCCCTTCGCCAAGTCGCCGGTTCAATTCATTTCCCACTCGCCCATCGTGCGTGATCAAGCCTCCTAAGTAGACTGCCTCTGTAACTTGTGTAATGGGCTCCCCGGTCGGCCTCGCCACCACGCTGTCTGAAGCCACTGGCATCTGCAGAGTCTTGTCCCAGTTAAGCTCCAGGCCATATTTGCGTCCTTCCGAAACGACAGCATTAAGTAGAGCTTGGCAGTTTTCCCCATGTCTTGATAGTAGCAACGTATCATCCGCGTAAAGCACGTCTCGGGTAATATCCGGGTTCATCTCGTAGCTGGAGACCGTGGTATACATCATGAAGCATGACACTCTGAACCATAATGAACAAGTACGGGGATAGAGGACAACCCTGAGCTATTCCAGCAGCCTGCCGCCTTTCCGTAGAGCAGCCGCAATGATCCACTATGGTGAAGAAGCGCTCCGAGTATATGCCTTTGATCATGTCTACCATCGGAGAAGGGACCCCAAAGCGCATCAAAGCTGCACACAAGCATTCCGGCTTTAACCTGTCGAACGCCTTTGCCCAATCAAGCAAGATTATCGTAAGGCCCCCGGTGTTGTCCACGTTGGCCGCATCGATGATTCGCCTGATCAACATGAGAGCGTCTGCCGTTCCCCGCCGAGGCCGGAAACCGAATTGAGATGATCTCATTCGTTCTTCAGCTCCTCCTCGTAAGAGCCTCTGGTGGAGCATTGACGCCAGTGCCTTGTAGCCAACAGTCAACAAAGAAATCGGGCGGTAGTTGCTAGGCAACGTGTGGTCTCCTTTCTTAAATAGAAGTATTACTTTCGCCCTCCTCCATTTGTCCGGGATATCTTTAGTCGCCCAGCATGTTTGGCAGATTTCCAGTAGAGCCCCGCACGCATGGGCATCTTCAGAAACGACTTTCCAGAATTCTGGCGGGACGTCATCTGGGCCAGCGGCTTTCCCATTTCTCATTTTCCGCAAAGCTTGTTGTAGCTCCCCCAGCGTGAAGGCAGACACATCCACTGGCAACTCGCTGCCCAAAGTGCTTGTTGACGTAGGGCTGATATCTGCAAATTTGACTTCCCATTGGATCTTCTCAAAGTAATCTGCCAAAGCGTCTGGCCTGCCAGCGGTGTCAGTCAAATTATTGTTCATGTCACGTACTCCTGCGTGCTTCATCTGCGGCTTCTTCCTGAGTTGCTTTACGGCGTCCCATTTTCCTCCCACCAGCGTCTCATGAATCCAATTCGTGCGATCATGCCGGGCTGCCTTCCGGATACGCTTGTGAAGTAGGCGCTCTGCTTGATAATCTCCAGAGCGGCGGCATGCGTCTCTCTGTTCAATCAAATCCAATGTAGATTGGGAAATCCATTCTTTCTTAGCTCGAGCGGGCCTTGTCCGTAATGTGGAAGACGCTGAAGCGAACGCTCGCTCGATGTTGTTGGCCATGTCGTTATGCGATCCCTTCGGCGGCCGGTTGGCCTCCCAAGCCTCAGTGAAAGCCCTGGTAAATGCAGCCTTGGTGTCCGGCTCCTGGACAGAAGATGCATCTTTTTGACATTGTGCTTGCGTGTCACGGTGTTTCTTGAATGCGAAATTCACCATCACCTTTGTCAGGAAGTGGTGGCTGTTCAATGCTACGGTACGGTCTGTCCTGCAATCTTGTACCCAAGGCAATACCGTGTTATGACACAACACGTGGTCAATTTGACTGAACTTGTCCGGCGAAATCGGCTCTGACGGTAGAGTCCCCAAGTTTCTGAACGTAATCTGTTCTTCCACTGGTACCTTGAAAAACGTATTCGCTACCAACATGTCTTTTTTCGATACAGTATTCGATCAAAAGTTGTCTGTTAGATACTTGTTGCAGGATGCTGCGGGCTGACCCACCCGAGAATACACTATCTCCAATAATGTCTGATTCCCCCAATCCTTGCTGCAACAACTTGGCGTTGAAGTCGCCCAGTACTAAAATAGTGCTGTGCGTTGTCGTGGGTTTCGTTATTGCGCCCAACTCGGAAAAGAAATGTTGCCTCTCGTCGTAATCGTGCCCGCTGTGTGGCGCGTGCGCGGAGATAAGATCCAAGACACCATGTTGCACTCGAAGCCGCACTGATGCCAATCTTGGCGAATATGTCCTGAAAGCTACAAGTGATGCCCGTGCCCATGGAGCTATTATAAAACCGACTCCTGCGTTGGAAAGCCGTTCTGCGTCGAGTTCCCCGGATAAACAAATTAAGAATCCAAGCTCTTCTTCATAATATGCGCCATGAAGTTGCGTCTCTTGGATACAAAGAATTCCCAGCCCAATGGAGTTCATCATCTGGAACAGCTCGGTAAGCTTGATCCTGGAGTCGCCTCGGAGTCCTTCAACACTCCAAGAACCCAGTTGTTCCGAACCCAGCGGAACGCAAGAGCGGCGAGGTTGACACCATAGAGCTGTCTGCCTCGTGGAATGTGTCTGTCCCCCGGCCTGTTGCTGAGTTCGGTGGCCCACGCAAGTACGGGAAGAAGAATGCGAGCCTGTCCTGGCCGACTGTGCCTCGATGTCGGGGCCCTCGTTGTCGTCGGTCAGCCCGTCGACGGGGGCAGCGGCGAAGTGAAGGTTGAGGACCGCCGGGGCCCTGAGTGAAACATGGTCACGATGGGCCCGCCCTTCGGGAACGGCACCCGCGCAAGAAGATGGTGAGGATGTATGTGATGAAGGTGTGCATGTGTAGATGGCCGTAGTGGCAACTTTGTCCAGTATACGTCCATCACAAAATGAACTATCATGCGTTGGAAGGCTTACGGAAACGGTAGCTTTGCCCATCACCGAACCAGATCCCAGAGGAGGGGAAGATGCGAACGTCAGAGCTGGGGATGCCTGCGCCGAAGTTGCCTGGCGGGCCAGAGTCCTCGGCGGTGGCACGCGAGACGCTGATGTAGAAGAAGCCGGGGGAGTAGGAGGAGACGAAGATAAATAAGATGGAGTGTGAAATTGTAATTGTTGCTGCGGCTTGGAGTTGTCGCCCATGCCGGCTGCAGAAAATGTGCGGGATGCCGTAGGTCTGAACATAGCGGTAGCTTTGCCCTGGTTACGCCCAGAACCATCGGACTCAAGAGAACTAGGATGAGGAGGTCCATCTTCAACATATCTGTTGACGACTTTTCGGGGGCAGACATCTGAAACCGACTTGTTGGAGAAATTGGTAACTTTGCCCAGCATATCCCCAATGATCAAAAAGTTAGGCGGGTCAGATTGCGGATGTCCTTGTTCACCGGCTCCGGTATCAAGTCGGACGTTCCCTGATACTTGCCGCATTTCCTACGCCTTCCCGTCACCCTTAGATTTGCCCTTCGCCCCTCCCTTCATCCCTGCAGTCGCCCGGGTGACTAAGGAATCGCATTTAGCTATCAATTCTTTTAGTTTTTCGTGTTGTTGTAGTTCCTCCCACTTCTCCCATTCCTCCTCCCACTTACGAGTAAGATGCGTGCCGTCCGTAGTAACAGTGAGAGCCAATTGACCACCCACTCGAACTTGGTAAGGAGCGTCATTTGATACATTTATGGTGTAGGTCGAGTGCATGGTGTCCTTGAGGAAATACTTCAGCCCGAAACAGAAATTCCGAGCGGCCCTCTCTAATGGATGGCGGTCGGGCGAAGCCCATACAGTATTCCCATTCAAATCGAACTTCGCACTTTTGATCAGAGCCACGGCAGTATCCCTGTCCAGCGTGGTGGCGAACTCTGCATACAAAATTGTGGTCGTATCGCCTTTCATGTACAGGTTGTACGGGGTGGGGCCGTCTGCTTCGGATAGTTTTTCCTTGATCCATGCTGCCGCTGTGTTGAACTTGTCGAACCCCACAAGGTTCCCAAAGACACCAGTCAACGACCGCTTCTCATCAGGATCATGCTGTGAACGGCAAACAGGTGCGCCACGCTGTTGTTTAAGCTGTTGAAGGTCCCGTTCAAGCTCTTGCAGTTTATTGTGCGCCGCCGTGTCTATACTTGACGCTGTCCTTGCAGAAGTGGGACCTGAAGTTGGCGGACGTGACGTGTAATTCGACTCCAATAAGCCAATCCTCTTGGTCAAGCCGTCAATCTCGTCCTTCAGTGGGTTGATGGCCGTCTGGAGGTCATGTTGTGAAACACCGTGCTCCTTAATGGCCAAAATATCTTTCCGGATCGGGTCCAACTGCTCGTTCAAAATCTCCCAGAAAGTATCGGTAGTGAGTGCTTGAGGGGTCTTGCTCATCATGTTGGAGCCAGTCGCCTCGCCTGCTCCCGCAAGACGTTGCTGGAATTGGTCTTGTAAAGCTCGAGGTCCTTCGTCGTCAACTTGTAGTGGTGAACTTCCCGTACGTCGCATTTTATCCGATGGTGGTTTCAGCACGCTTTTCACTGGTGTCCCCATATGGTGCTTTTCAGCCGGCATCTTCACGTAAGCTGCCGAAGACACGAGCACCCAGAAAAACAATCGAAGACCTGCGTGGGTAGTAGGAGGGAAGTGTAGGGAAGTGTACGAGAAAGGTTGTGCCTAGAAACAAGCCAGCCCTTGGCGAAACCCTTGACCCGATCTCTGCGCGGAGCGCCAAAAATTTCAGATCAGACTCGGCGCCGACTCTGGCTTGGCCCGACCCGATTCGGCTCTGATGCTCCGACGATCCGAGGCGGCCCGACGCTTCCGTGGCGCCGCCGGGCGTCCTGGCGCGGCCGACCCGCTTCTGTTCCGACCCCGTGCCGATGCTCGGCTCAGGCTTGACCGCCCTGGGGGAGAGGGACCCAGGGACGGGGGGAGAGGGGGGAGGGAGGGGGGGGGGGGAGGAGGGCAGGACGAAGGAGCAGAAGAAGGGAGGGGAGGGGAAGGGAGGGGAGAGGAGGCGAGGGGAGGGCCTGGGCAGGGAGGGCGGCGCGCGCGGAGGGAGGTGGCGAAGCGGTGGCTCCGACGCGCATCTCGATGCAATCCGATGTTTTGCTCGTGCTGATGCTGCCTGATCCCGGGCGGAGGAGACGATGTCCCGACCGGCCTTCGCCTCCCCCGTCCTCGTCCTCGTCGCCGCCGCCGTCGCCGCCGTCGTCGTCGTGGTCGTCGTCGTGGTCGTCGTCATCGTTGTCGTCGTCGTGGTCGGCGTCGCCATCGTCGTCGGCGTCGTCGTCGTCGTCGTCGCCGTCGGCGTCGCCGTCGTCGCCGTCGCCCAGAAGCTCAACGTGACCGGCCAGTGGGCCTACGAGCACCGCCAGGGCGGCCTGCACTTCGACGTGGCGGCGGCCCCCCGGCACAGGAAGGGCACCAACTGGATGCGCTTCGGGAGGCCCCCTCGGCAGGGAGGGCGGCGGCGTCGCCTCGCCCAGCATCGTTTGCCCAGCGGTCGTTGAAGGTAGGTGCCCAGACAGTGCTCGCGCCGTAGAAAATTCAGGACGGGAGGCTTTTCCTCGTTCTCGGCCCCGGGGGGGCCCTCGCCGGGCCTCGGTGCCGTCAGAAGACGACTCATAGGACGAAAAGCCGGCCCCGGGGAGGTGGTCGGGGCCTCCAGGGATGCCGCCCCGAAAAAGTCAGGGCGTCGCACGTCTGGGTATTTTGGGGCGCCCAAGTCCCAGTCTATCAGGAGGAAAAGAAACACACAGACACAATTAATCGTCGATTTCCCAGAAAATATTGGAAAATATGGGAATTGGGCTGGAAGACAAAAACCCAGAAAATATGGGAAAATATGGGGAATTCTTCTATTTGTGTGTATTTATTTGTGTGTCCCAGGGCCCCTTCATTCAAGAGAGTGGAGTGGTCTTTCCTCCTCCCTCGTCCTCGGGGGCCGGGCGGGCGCCCAGGTCTGCTTTCAGCGCCTTCCTGCTTCGTGTTTCTGCCCACTTCTTTCGGGAGGGGAAAAAACACACACAGACACAATGAATCGTCGGTCCCCAAGAAAATATGGGAGAATATGGGAATTGGGCGGGAAGACAGAAACCCGGAAAATATGGGAAAATATGGTGAATCTTTTTATTTGTGTGTATTTGTTTGTGTGTCCCAGTTCCCCTTCATTCTTCCGACCGACGGGTAACCGTGTCCCCATCCCCACCCCCATCCCGATCCCCACCATCCCACCACCCCAGCTGAGGATCTGCCCATCGGAGCCTGAAGTGAACGGCCTACACCCCCATCTGGGTATCCAGGTGGACAAGTCGGCCAGTGGGGCCCCGGCCACAGGGAGGGCGTCGTCATCGTAGTCGTCTCGCCGCGACGTAGCAGTCGAGAGGAGAAACGGCATACTCATAAACGTTCGACTCTCCGCGCGCATTCCTTAGATTTGCGCTTGAACCCCTCGGCGCCTCCGGCGCCGCCCCTGGCGCGCTCCGCGCGCCAGGGAGGGGGGTCCAGCGCAGATCCAAGACATCCGCGGGGAGCTCCAACAGTTTACGTTTATGTCGTCTTCTATTCCTCTATTACGAGGGGAAAAATCACACAGACACAATTGTTCGTTGACTCTCCAGAAAAGATGGGAACATATGGGAAGTGGGGGGGAGAAGAAAACCCAGAAAATACAGGACAATATGGGGGATCTCTGGATTTGCTCTCATGTATTATCTTGCACAGGGTGTCTAGAGCTCCGACCGTTTTATTTCGGCGCGGCACCGCCCCCTTCATCCCACGCGCCACCTCCGCACCACCCCGCCCACCCCGCCCACCAGCCAGCGCGCCTCTCCGCCCCGACCTTTCGGCACGCCCCTCCCCCTTCCCTTCCCATCCCGCACGCCCCCATCCGCATCACCCCACCCACCAGCCAGCGCGCCCCCCCCTCCCCGATCATTTTATTTCGTCACGGCACCGCCCCCCCCCACCCCGAGCGCCCCCTCTGTGTCGTTCCTCTCACCAGCCAGCTTGCCCCCTCCGCCCTGACCCCCTTTTATTCCGGCACGGCACCGCCCCCGTTCCCCTCCCTCTGCACCCCCCCCCCGCCCCCAGCCGGAGCGCCCCCTCCGCCCCGACCCCTTCGTCTCCGCCCCGCCCTGCCTCTTACTATGAGGAGGAGGGAGGAGGAGGAGGAGGAGGAGGAGGAGGAGGAGGAGGAGGAGGAGGGAGGCGCCCCGATGTTTTTTAGTCTCGGCACGGCGCCCCCCCCCTTCCCGCGCGCCCCCTATCCGAATCGCCCCCACCCACCGGCCAGCGCGCCCCCTCCGCCCCGACCCCTTGATTTCGGCACCGCACGGCCTCCCCCGTCCCGAGCGCCACCTCTGTCTCGCTCCAGCCCACTATCCAGCGCGCCCTGTCCAGCCCGATCGCTGCATTTTTTGGCACGGCACCGCCCCCCTCCCATCCCGCGCGCCACCCCGGCCCCCCTCACACCCACCAGCCAGAGCGCCCCCTCCGGCCCGACCTTCATTCCCGCCCCCTCCGCCCCGACCCCTTTATGTCGGGCCCGCCCCGCCCCGACCCCTTGCTATAAGCCCTCCGCATTTTCCCACCCACCAGCCAGCGCGCCCCCTCCGGCTCGCGCCCCTTCCGCGCCCCCCCACCCGCCAGCCAGCGCGCCCTCTCCGCACCGACCCTTTATTTTCGGCGCGGCACCGCCCTCTCCGCCCCGACCCTTCTTATTTCGGCACAGCACCACCACGCCACATCCCGCACGCCAGACCCCTTGCATTTCGGCACGGCACCGCCGCCCCCCATCCCGCGCGCCTTTTTCCGCATCCCCCCCACCCACCAGCCAGCGCGCCCCCCATCCCTTTATTTCGACACGGCCCCGCCCCACCCCGACCCCTTGATATAGGCCCTCCGCATCCTCCCACGTACCAGCCAGCGCGCCCCCTCCAGCCCGCGCCCCCTCCGCGTCCACCAACCCACCAGCCAGCGCGCCCGCTCCGATCCGACCCTTCTGTTTCGGCGCGGCACCGCCCCCTCTTCCCCGACCCTTTTATTTCGGCACAGCACCCCCCCCCGACATCCCGCATGTACCCTCCGCATCGCCCCGCCCGCCAGCCAGCGCGCCCCCTCTGGCCCGACTTTGTTATTTCGGCACGGCACCGCCCCCCCCATCCCGAGCTCCCCTTCTGCATCACCCCACCCACCAGCCAGCGCGCCCCCTCCGCCCGCACCCTTTTCATTTCGGCGCGGCACCGCCCCCCCCCGTCCCGAGCGCCCCTGCCATCACCCCATCAACCAGCCAACGCGCCCCCTCCGCCCATCCCTTTATTTAGGCACGGCACCGCCCCCCTCTTATCCCGAGCGCCCCCTCCACATTGCTCAAAGCGCCCTCTCCGCCCCGACTTGTATATTTTCGGCACGGCACCCCCCATCCTGTGCGCTTCTTCCACATCCTCCCACCCGCCAGCCAGCGCGCCCCCTCCGCCCCGAACCCTTTGTTTCGGCACGGCTCCGCCCCGCCCCGCCTCTTACTATGAGGAGGAGGAGGAGGAGGAGGAGGAGGAGGAGGAGGAGGAGGAGGAGGAGGAGGAGGAGGGGAGGAGGGAGGAGGAGGGAGGAGGGAGGAGGGAGGAGGGAGGAGGAGGAGGGAGGAGGAGAGAGGGAGGGAGGAGGGAGGAGGAGGGAGGAGGGAGGAGGAGGAAGAGGAAGAGGAGGAGGAGGAGGAGGAGGAGGAGGAGGAAGGGGGAGGGAGGAGGGAGGAGGAGGGAGGAGGTCTGGAGCCCAGCTCGCTTCTGCAAAGTACGGCGTCGGCCTTCACCCTTCTCGATTGGGGTGGCGGATTTTCTCTGCGACGTGGCTCGTACGGCACGCGCGGGAGCTGACAGGGTCAGCATCGAGCCATGTGGATGTTGCTGCGGGAGAAATCCGGAACTCGGCTGAGGTCTGCCCTTCCTCGGTAACGTTTCATCGACCCCCATCCCCATCTCCATCCCCTCCGCGACCCCCACCAAACTGCCACCCCAGTTGGGGATACACCCCTCGAAACTCGAAGGGAACGACCCATGTCCCATCTAGGGGGGTAAATCGGCCAGTGGGGCCCAGGCCACGCCGCTGGGGATGGGGATCGGTTCAACGATACTCACTTCCCACTGCCGCGAGGCGCAACCACCGTGTTGACATGAAGGTCGTCTACGGCCACACCCCGTCCGGGATCAACTACCTCAACTTCTTCGTCCGGCACCTCGGCGAGACCGGCTACCCTGCGAGGGGCTCGGGATTGAAAGCAGGCGGTTTGTAGAAGCACAAGTTTTCAGAGGTCCGCGCTAGCTTCTTGGATCGGCGCTGAACCTCCCTCCCTGGCGCGCTCCACGCGACAGGGAGGGACATCCGAGACATCCGTGCAGACCTCACCTGTTTCTAGTTGTCCTTGTTCGAACCTCATCTTTCAGGAGGGGAAAACACACAGACACAATTAATCGTCGATCCCCAGGAAACATGGGAAAATATGGGAAGTGGGGGGGGGGGAAGACGAAAACCTAGAAAATATTGGAAAATATGGGGAATCCTGTTATCTGTGTGCATTTATTTGTGTGTCCCAGGGCCCCTTCAATCTTCTTTCGGTGCTCAAAGCTTCATCCGGCCGCCTGCGGCAAGTGCCTCCACCGTGCCAGTGCCAGCTCAGCATCCCGGGCACGCGCGGGGCCGTCCGGACCGTTGCGGCGCGTGCCCCGTGAGGCTTTTGGTCTGTGGCTTCAGGCTCGCCCGGCCGCGCTCCACATCCGCAGTTGATCCACTCTCAGCGGAACAAGGCGTGACATAAACATAAAAACTCGAAGGTCCGCGCGGAGTTCTCGGATCGGCGCTGGGGCCCCCCGGCGGCGCCTCCGGCGCCGCCCCTGGCGCGCTCCGCGCGCCAGGGAGGAGGGTCCAGCGCCGATCCGAGAAATCCGCGCGGACCTCCGAGTTTTTGTTTACGTCACTTTTTGTTCCCCTACCTCTGCCAGTGCCAGCCCAGCATGCTGGGTGGCGACACTTCGAGGGGGCACGGGAGGCCGTCTCGTGTGACGCCTCGTGTCTCCAGGCTTGGGCAAGCCGTGATGATGATGATGATGATGATGATGATGATGATGATGATGATGATGATGATGATGATGGATGACAATGATGACAATGATGGGGGTGGTGATGATGATGAAGATGACGCCGATGACGGTGATGGTGGTGGTGATGGTGATGGTGATGGTGGTGGTGATGGTGATGGTGATGGTGATGGTGATGGTGATGGTGATGATGATGATGATGATGATGATGATGATGATGATGATGGTAGTGGTGGTGATGATGATGGTAGTGGTGGTGATGATGGTGATGGTGGTGGTGATGGTGATGGTGATTGTGATGACGATGTTGGCGATGATGATGATGATGATGATGACGACGACGACGACGATGAGGGTGATGATGATGATGATGATGATGATGATGATGATGATGATGGTAGTGGTGGTGATGATGGTTATGATGATGTTGATGATGGCGATGACGATGACGATGAC